AACACACATTCACACACACACTAACACACACTCACACACACACACACACACACACACTCACACTAACACACACACACACTCACACTAACACACATTCACACACACACTAACACACACTCACACACACACACACTCACACACCGGTTTGTTTTGCTATCTTTGTGGGGCCTTTGCATTGACTTCCATTCATTTTTCATTCATTTCTATAGCCTAACCATGACCTTTATCCATAACCTAACCATTACCAGTACATACCTAACCCTAAACCTAACACATCCTCAATTCACACCTTAGTCCTAAACCTAGCCCCTAACCCACCAACGGGACTTCTTCTTATGGGGCCCGGGCTTTGGGCCCCATAAGGAGCAGTTGGTCCCCACAATGTAGTATAAGTTGGAAAAATGGGCCTCACAAAGTAGCATAAACAAGGACACACTCACACACACTAACACACATTCACACACACACTAACACACACTCACACACTCACACACACACTCACAGTTGGACAAGCTTAGGTGCTAATTGTTGTGATAAAATCGCACCATCAGGGGCAAAAAGTGGGAGACGCACGTTCGCCTTTTGTACGGTGCTCACACACACACACACTCAAACACACACACACTCACAGGAATGACTTTGTGACTTGTGTGTGTGTGTGTGTGTGTGTGAGAGTGTTTGTGTGTAACGACTCCTCTGCTTCGGTTGTAGGGTTAAACTCCCCTCCCCCACACACTTAGCTTGCAGAGCTGACTGATGCACCTGGAGGAAGTCCATGAGAGAAGAGGGGGGGGGGGTAGCTTGACTGACACAGATCTCCAGAGATGGAGGCAGTGGGAGGGAACATGGGGGGAACATGGGGGGGAACATGGAAGGGAACATGGGGGGGAACATGGGGGAACATGGAAGGGAACATGGGGGGAACATGGGGGGGAACATGGGGGGAACATGGGAGGGAACATGGAGGGAACATGGGGGGAACATGGGAGGGAACAAGGGGGGAACATGGGAGGGAACATGGAGGGAACAAGGGGGGAACATGGGAGGGAACAAGGGGGGAACATGGGAGAGAACAAGGGGGGAAACATGGAGGGAACATGGGAGGGAACATGGGAGGGAACAAGGGGGAAACATGGAGGGAACATGGAGGGAACAAGGGGGAAACATGGAGGGAACATGGGGGGAACATGGAGGGAACAACGGGGGAACATGGGAGGGAACATGGAGGGAACA